AGGGGGGACGGAACGGGCGGGAAGGTTAAAAAAAAAAAAAAAAAAAAAAATTGAGAAAAAAAGGGGGAAACAAATTTTTAAAAATCATACCGCCAGGGAGGTTAAAAAACGAGCAGTGAACAAAAAAACGTGTTTTGAAACGTGCTAAAAAAAATTGAGCATAAAAACGCTCCAATTTGGAACGCCAGGTGTGAACCCAGCCTACAAAGTGAGAATGCAAATGGAAAACCACACAGTGCTATATATATGCTATATATATACAGTGCTATATATATACCGTGTTTCCCCGAAAATAAGACAGTGTCTTATATTTTTTTTTTTTCTATGAAAAAAGACACTAAGGGGTTGATTTCCTAACCTTATAAACACACCACGAACATGTATACACCTCTGTAGTGTGTTCCCTCCCAGCATGATCTATGGGTGGAATCTAAACACCTTTGTAGTGTGTACACACCCAGCAGGTGTGTTGTGCAAAGCCCTGCATGAATTGCAAAACATAAAAAGCCACCAGTTGGATATAACCAAATTAAATGGGGTGAGGAGCATGTTCTGGGGATTACACTAGCAAGGATTGGGAGGCTGGAGGACAGGACTGATGGAGCCAAATACAGGCAATTTTGAAGGAAAAGCTCTAAATCTGCAAGGTAGAGACTGAAGTAAAAGCAGACACACAGCCAAAGCTACACTGGGAAGTTTTAAGGGCCCTGTCACACCATATCCAGTGCATTCCAGTGCGGTTCAAGCACAGAACGCACTGGAACCATTGAGCAAGCCGGGCAGCGTTCTGGGGCGGGAGGGCATGTCAGTGACATTCATATCAATGGCACAGCAGACACACCCTCTGTCCACAGTGCGATCGGCCGCACCGGAAGGTGAGGTACAGGAATGCCCTCCGTTCCAGTGTGATCTGAAAAAATGCTGCGTGCACCATTTTTTCAGACCGCAATGCACTGGAATGGAGGGCATTCCTGTATCTCGGGCAGCGGTGCGGGCAATCGCACTGTGGTGCCATTGACATGAATGGCACCGCCACGCCCCCTCCTACCCCAGAACGCTGCCTGGCTTGATCTATGTGACCCAGTGCGTTCTGGGCTCGAACCGCACGGGAACACACTCGATATGGTGTGGCTGGCCCTAAAACCATAAACCACAGTTCATGGAATAGCCCAGTAAAAAAACAGGCCTCCACCCAATTGAGAACTTGTGTGCTGTTCTCCAAGGGCCCCAATCCAAAAGACTTGCAGCTGTATTTGCAGCCAAAGGCACTTCTACCAAACTGTCACTTAGGGCTGTGAATACTTCCAAAACAAAAAAGCAGGCATTTGTTGGTTGCATATTTGTGGTCTAATAAAATATTTTGCATCTTCTTAGTGTAAAAGCAAGTGGTGTCCATGAACTGGTAACATACCAATGAAATCACATTTTAGGCTGTAACACTACAAAATATTGGACAAAAGTCCAATAGAGTGAATACTCATGCACAATTTTTATATGGACAAAGTTACAAGGGCTGTGCAGCTGTCATGTCAGTAGGATATTCTGGCATAAGGATATGGGATATGATGGATACTCACAGGCCATTGGTCTTCTGTTGCTGTACCCAGTGTTTCAAATATTCTTGTGAGTTGATCCAAATCAGAATCCCCAGGCAGAAAAGGCACCTAATAGAATAGAATAAAAAAAAAAAAAAAGAACAATCAGTGCTACCCTTACTGTGTTATACTTCAATAGGCTCCAGTTTATACTTTTACAGGTGTGACAGCATGCGCACATTTTTGTGCGATGTGTACAAGCAGGCCATTCATTTCAATGGGTTGACCCAATACAAGACAATCACACCAACGAAGTCCCTGCACTTTTTTTTTTTCAATTCTCCATTTGTACAAGTGAGCGACTTCATGCAGAACTGAATGGTATCAGACAATAATGAAGAATTAATTCCAGGCATATTAAACATTAACCTTTGCATTAAGTCTACCCCTCACATTGCAAGGGTTAACTGCTTGGTTTGGTCTAGGGTCTAAAGTTTAAAAAAAAACAAAAAACACATACATCACACCACTCACCTGATCCTCTGTCACACCTGGCTTCTAGACCGGCAGCTTCCACCCCAGGCTCTGGTGATCCGAGGACCCGTGGAATTTAGAAGATATGTTGTCCTCACACCATTCTGCTTCGGAATATCATCTTTATTTGCATACCGTTAGCACGACGTATGACCAACGTTTCGGAGCCTCACAGGGCCCCTTTGTCGGGCAAAGTGATATTACTAGGACCTATGGAATGTCCCTCGTTGAGAACGCTGGAGACATTCCACAGTCAGAGTGGAGGGGAAAAGAAGCGAGCGGTTACTGCTGCAGGACTGAGGATCAGGTGAGTATATCTTTATTGCAGACCCTAGACCAAAACAAGCACTTTACCCTTGCAGGCAAGGGTAGCCCTACTGCAAGGGTTAATGTTTATTATGCCCAGATTCCTTCTTTAATAAATTTAGGAACAATTCACAATAATAGAATATAAGATAGATAGGATAGATCATTTTTTTTTACATTTATTAGGGATGCACCAATACAGTTTTTTCAGTATCCCGTAGGAGTACCGATATTTATTTATTTTTGGTACTCGCTGATACAGAATACAGATACCGGAAGTCTCATTAAGGAAGCCGGGCGGCGTGTAATGACTCGCCCCCGGGCTTCTCGATTACCCGGGAAGCCGTCTCCATGCTCCCTAGGTGACGAGGAAGCATGGAGCCGTCTTTATGGCCAATCAGGAAGCCGGGTAATGACTCGCCACCTGGCTTCCTGATTGGCCAGCTTCCCAACCAATCAGGAAGCTGGGTGGCGATTACATGCCATCCGGCTTCCCGATTGGTCGGGAAGCTGGCTCCATGCTTCCTCGTCACCAAGTTGAAATCATCAGTTTGCTATTTTACAAAAGCTTATATAAATTACCCTTAGCAGCAACTCTGCCAAAATACAACCGACTGCCCACATGTCAACGCCCACACCATACATTCTGGAACCAAACAGTAACTCTGGAGACCGATACCACCTGTTAAAAAGGTAAAACAAGGAAATTCAGAAAACAGAAACATTAGAAGTGGTACATTTTACATAGTACTAAGAACACATTTCCTACAAACCTCCCAATGTTTAAAAGTGCAACAGTCGCCCAACCACCCTTCCAGCAACCTATTTAAATGCTCGGCATTGGCATATCTTTTGCCTCTCACAATTACACAGCATCCTAGCTACAATAAAGACAAAAATCACTACAGAAATAAACAAATGTGCGCATTAAAGTGTATGTTTCCTACTCAATCTAAAAATGCTGCCCCATAGCAGGATCCACAAGGAGGCTGATATCTCCAGGAAAGTCCCCTCAATTTTAAACTTATTTTCACTTGTGTGAAGGCTTCAATTTGGGCACTGCATCCACCAGCACAGCCCCCCTAGGCCAGGCACTTGATGGGTGGGTGGCAGCTATGCCATGTAGCGCTTATGTAGAGGTTGAGATCTTCATACAAAAGTGAAAGCAATCACAATCAGGGCCCACTGGAGGCTTTTCTGGGCAAAAGTTTAAACAGCAAGATTATCATAGTGCCGGCTGTTTGGCAGCACATATTTAAAGTGGACAGGTTGACAATGGAATGGGAAAAAAAAATCAGACCGGCAGCATTTTTCATATTGCAGTGCACTGTGTTAAATTTCATTCTAATTCAGCACTGCCTCTTCACTTAATCACCTCAGACAAAAACATCTCATTTAAACAAAGGTAAATAAAGGCAGGCAGGCCAAGAATCTTCTGTCTCTCCATGCTGGGCAAAAGACACTGTCTAGCCAGAAAAAAACATGTTACATAGCCACATGGGCCGCCGGCTCTTTGTGCTGGATGCCCAAAAGAGCAAAACGTAGGTGCTTTGGTACAAACCTGACTATAGCAGAATGTGTAAGCGTACAATAAAACATTGAGAAACTGTACCTAGCGGGGAGCCAAAGAACATACTGCTGTGCTTTTAAAACGTTATGCATGGCAGCAGTGGAAGTTTTCATTACATCACGGTAGACGACTTTTTGTTTACCATCAGTTGTAACGTGTTGAAGGAATACCCATATAGAAACACATGAAAAAAGAAATCCTGCACATCTACTTAACACATGCAACTGGGCATCATAAAATTCTAAACATGTCATAAAAAGGGTTGCGACCTGAACAGACTATATACCTTGTTACCACTTGGTGGGTATAAACTCTGTTTGGACTTCCAAATGATTTGGCTAAACCAAAATCGGCCAGTTTAAGGACTCCGTTCTCATCGAGCAGCAAGTTGTTTGGCTTTAAATCCTAGAACGCAAATTGTATTTACAAACTTATCACAACTTGGAAAAATAAAAGCACATAAATATTTTTTATCATGCATAGAAAGAAAACGGGGGGGGGGGGGGGGAAA